AAACGTCGCGATCTACATCTCAAGTGACTACATCGTGAGACAAACGATAATACACTTTATTATTACATTTCTTATATTAATCCGGGAACGCAGAAAAGGTTGCCCTTCTGAAATCATTTAAGAACAGTATATATTTTTCAACTGCTTCGGTCTCTTTTGTTATGTTTTAACAATGCTATTTTAGTTTCATTTGATTTTTTGAAACTCGTTTCAATATCATGTATAATTTGCTCTAAATTTTCTCGTTGTTTGAAACCTGTCGCTCCAACGTGAATGATTAAATGTTATGTGTTTCAGTTTGTGCAAGGCCTCTTGGTTTGGAGAACAATAACAATCGGGCTATCAGGATCAGATCACTGGCATCCTTAACAGACCCTGCTTATCCACCGAATGCTGCACGACTCAATGGTCCCTCAGCTTGGTGTCCACCAAAAACACAAGCTTACTTACAAATTGATCTCGATAAAACCTACAAGCTCACAGCTATTGCTACACAGGGAGGACCAGTCCTTAACAAATGGGTTCAAAGATACAGAATCAGCTTCAACGCTGGACCTAAAATTGTAGATTACAGTGAGTCTGGATCAAGAAAGGTGAGGTCCACAGTACTCTTATATTTCCACCACTCTTATTGCGACTTCTTCTAGTCTTGCCATTAGTAGTGTACTAAATATAGTTTTTTTTTTTTTTTTCTTTTTTTTTGTCGTCGTTGTCGTCGTCGTAGTAGTAGTAGNAGTAGTAGTAGTAGTCGTAGTAGTCGTAGTACTCATAGTAGCAGTAGTAGTCGTAGTAACAGTAGTAGTCGTAGTAGTAGCAGTAGCAGTAGCAGTAGCGGTAGTTCAGTTTGGTTTGTTTGTTTGTTTTTAAGTCGTCCCATGAACTTGAAGCACGTCAGCTTATGTTGGTCTTTTCTTAAGGTTATCCCGGGAAACAAGGACTCTTCGACCCTGGTAGAATACAAGTTCAAAGAGCCGTTCATCGCCAGGACTATCAGGATTCATCCCTTGTCTGCTAATGACGACTTTATCTGCTTAAGAGTGGAATTATACGGCTGTGATCCTAGCCCAGGTAATTTCCTTGTAACGTGAATAAAACGCTAGATTTTATATTTGTTTATGCAGTTATATTTACTGTTTGGGGTGTTATTCTTGTAAGGCTTATAATTAAAAATGTTAATAAAATGCATACTGAGCGCGAGAGCCTTATCGGTTCCTATTTCAAGATCAGAGCTTTACAATGCGAAAAATTAACAAGCTTATCCGCAGAACACTATAAAAATTAACATTACACAGTTATAATATTGTCATCATAATGTAACAATATGACACTGACCTAGTTCTTTTTTCTTTTGTTTAGACTGTATCCTGGTTGGTTCAATGTTTTGGGGATTATGGAGGTATAATCATGGCGCCGATAACTACTACAAAGTTTACATCACAAAGCTTAATGTCACACGCGTTGACTTCGTGTTAACATTGAGTGAAAAGCATACACGCAGCTACCGGCGAACTCAAGAAGTGCTTATTTTAGACACGATTCGAAAAAAGAAGGATATTCCGATTAATTCATCAGTAATAGCCCTTCACAGAGAGGGTAAACCAGAGTGGTATCGATCCGGTACTGTCGTGGAGTTTTCGGGTACAGCTTTAGTGTCAGTGAAATTTGACGACAATACTACAAAATGGGTCAGATTTGAAAATCTCCGTTTAGTGAAACGACCA